GGAGGAGCTATACAAAATCTCTAAACTAGCTCAACTCATTCTTCAAAAGCAAAAGTCCAAAAGATGGTTCCCTGTAAGAAAAACAAAATTTAACGGAGTGAGCTTTAGCCCAATGAGGTACTATCACGTAAATATACCAAGATCACATAAACACAAGAATATTCAATCCAAATAAGTTCATCAAGTGAGTAAAATCAACACCACACAACTATAGAGAATAAAAGGATACGGACGGCTCTCAAGAGCCCTTTTCCTCTTTTGCCATGCTTGATCTCATCTCATTGACTCTCCGTCAATGTATACAGTGTAATTATAACCGTAGACTCCTCTTTACTCCAATATTCCGTCCACCACACATTCCTCTTACCGGGCCCGAACACCAAGCAGTACAGAATTGGTAATACTCGAGTATACCGGAATCAAGGGTCTCATACCCAAAGATTCCCAAATACAGTCCCCATGGCTTGTCAAATGTCTTCGACCAAGTCCTTACCGGCTCGAGTCAATTGACTTCCAATGAGGTAGAGCTCAGAGTTAACAGTAAAGGTCCAGAGTTAACAGTAAAGGTCGTTGGATACATGTCCAAACGATACCAAATCAAGTACAATCAAGAGTATTTCAAGTGATTAGTAAACAGTCAAGTAGGCCGGAGAGTACGAGAGTGGTAAAGTACACCCTCGCCTCACCTGGCCCAAACAATAATCACAACTAGTCCAATCACAGAATTCAAGTACAAGAAAGTCACGGAATAACAAACATGTGAGTAATACACTCACCAAGTCAAACAAAGCAATTTCACAAGGTTTCGCCCGACGTGAGCCTCGGATCACCGACACGCCCTATAATAATCAAGAAAGTACAATTAAGACTCGAACACGAGTCGAATACCTTTTTAAATGAACTATTAAGGCAAAACCCAAATATAGCTTGGAAATGAAAAACACATAAATTCTAGGGCTAAAAGGAGAAACAAACCCCAAAACCTTTCATTTCTATCCAACCTCAACCCAAAATCACAAAATCCAATACCCTAGACATTTGGACAGCATTTCCCCTAAAATTTCAGCTTTTCCATCCTACAAACCAACAATTAAAATGCATCCAACACAACTACAAGCACCCAAACAATTCATAGGTCATTCAATACACGTCATTAGGGTCACAATACCCCTTAATCATAGCCAATTAAAGGCTCAACAACCAACCATAGAAAACTCCCAATTAGAAACCCTAAATCTGAAATTTTCCGCACAAGCGGAAATTTTTCGCAAATAACCGCAATTAACGCACAAGAGAGCTATTTAACACCATTTAGAACCATCAATTCAAGCCCAACTATATTCATCATAGGAAAATAGAAAAATTCTTGCAAAAATCAGAGAATTAGCTAACTTCACTCTAATCCATAAAATCTTCCATAAAATCCACTAGTTAGCTACCATAAGGCACCAATTGGCCATTATTAGGAACAAAGAGTGAGTTCCAAGCAAAATACCTTAACTCTTCAAGAAAGGTAGTAGCTTAGGGGTTTCTTCTCCAAATCAACTCCACCAAGACCTTCAAACTCCCTTAGCAAGGCTTTTTTGTGGACTAAATCAAGGTTTAATCGGTTGGTTTTCAAGATTTGTGCAAGAATAGAAGATGAAAGGTTGAAGCTTTCTTTTCTTTTCTTCCTAGAGAGGTTCGGCCAAGATGGGGATGAAATGAAGATGATTTGAGTCAATTTTGGTCTTTTAGTAAAGTTAAAGAAAGTTAGGCAAAAGTTAGGCAAGTCAACTCCAATAAGAAATGGACACTTGGCACTTTGTTGTTGCTTGAAGTTATTTTCTTGTCTCCCCATGGTTAATCCATCTAGGTAACCTCTAATTACCTCCTAACACCTAGGAATTAAATCCCTTTATGCAAAATTTAACCTAATTGGCCGAATTTCTCTCACTTAATGCACTAGCGGGTCCCACGTCCAATATGCACTCCTAATTTCTCATGAACTAATTTATACTAGAAAAATGATTTAAAAACTATATTTACTGATAAAATATTGTTAAAAGTAATATAATAAAGAAAATAAAAGAAAACGGATGCACAGGAATAAAATAATGCCTAAATTTTTTTTTAAAAATTTTTTTTCTGGGTTCTCACACCCTCTGCCCTTAAAGAATTTCGCACTCGAAATTGCTCACCTGGGTTACTAAACAGCTCAGGGTATTTCCTTTGCATCTCTTCCTCCACCTTCCAAGTTGCCTCTTCTATTTCATGATTCCTCCACAAAACCTTTACTAATGGGATTTGTTTATTTATCAGCTCCTTAATCCTTCGATCGAGTAATTGTACAGGTCTCTCTTCGTAGATGAGTGCTTCATCTATCTCAATCTCCTCAGGTTGCACAATGTGGGTTGGATCAGGATAGTACTTTTTAAGCATCAAGACATGGAAAACGTCATGAATTCGAGATAAACTTGGCGGCAACTCGAGTCGGTACGCTACTTTCCCAACTCGTTGAAGAATTGTGTAAGGTCCTACGAACAGTGGTTGAAGTTTCTTTCCTCTACCCACAGTGATGCTTCGTAGTGGCGTGATCTTAAGAAAAACACGGTCTCCAACTTCGAACTCCAAATCTTTCCTTCGGTTATCTGCGTAGCTCTTTTGTCGGCTTTGAGCTGTTTGGAGTCGTTGACGGATCAACTTAACCTTTTCTTGTGCATCCTCCATCCATCCAGGGAATGGTTGTTGGATCTAGAACCTTCTTTTCCCCTACTTCATCCCAATAAATAGGCGAACGACACTTCCGTCCGTAGAGAGTTTCATACGGTGCCATTTGAATGGACGAATGGTAACTGTTATTATAGGCGAACTCTACTAAAGTCATATGCTGGCCCCAATTACCCCCAAAATCCAGAATACAAGTCCGTAACACATCCTCGAGAGTTTGAATTGTTCGCTCTGACTGTCCATCCGTCTGGGGGTGATAAGTGGTACTAAGGTTGCGTTTGTTCCCCAAGTTCTCTTGGAACTTTTGTCAAAACGTCGATACAAACCGAGGATCTCGGTCCGAAACTATACTCACTGGGACCCCATGTAACTTCACAATTTCATCCATGTACAACTGAGCCAATTTATCCATGGAATACTTCATATTCACAGGTAAGAAATGAGCCGATTTGGTTAACCGATCAACGATCACCCAAACGGTATCATGTCCTTTTTGAGTTTTTGGCAATCCAGAAACAAAGTCCATCGTGATATTTTCCCACTTCCATTCAGGTATCTCAAGAGGTTGTAAAAGTCCAGAGGGTTTTTGGTGTTCAGCCTTGACTTGCTGGCAAATCAGACAGGTTTGGATATATTGAGCAATCTCCCTCTTCATCTTATCCCACCAGTACAACCGTCGCAAGTCTTGATACATCTTATTACTACCAGGATGGATCGTGTATTTCGATCGATGGGCTTCCTCCAAAAGTTCTCTTTTCAGATTTTCATCATTAGCCACCACTACTCAGTTCCTATACTTTAAAATCTCTTCAGGACTCAAATTGAAATCAGGTAATGCTCCTTTTTCTACCTTTTGCTTCCACTTTTGTACCATCGGATCCTTCTCTTGGGTTTCTTTAATTCGATCAAAAATAGTAGATGTTACCTGGATATTCCCAAAAGTCACCCTTTGACGTTCCAAATTAGGGTTCCATTCAACCCCGCTACTTGAGCCTTTCGACTTAGGGCGTCAGCTACTACATTAGCCTTACCTGGATGGTAGTTGATCGTGCAGTCATAATCTTCTAAGAGTTCCATCCACCGGCGTTGCCTCATATTCAACTCCTTTTGGAAAAAGAGGTACTTAAGGCTCTTATGGTCTGAATAAACCTCAAAGGTAACCCCGTATAGATAGTGTATCCACTTTTTCAGAGCAAAGACCACAGCAGCTAGCTCCAAGTCATGGGTAGGGTAGTTTTGTTCATGGGTTTTCAGTTTCCTAGAGGCAAAAGCAATCACGCTCTTGTTTTGCATCAACACGCATCCCAAGCCTTCCCTCGAAGCATCAGTATAAACAATGAAACTGTCATTCTCATTAGGCAAGGCTAGAATAGGAGCCATGGTTAACCTTCGCTTCAATTCCTGAAAACTGGTTTCACACCTAGTATCCCACACAAAACGACCATTTTTCTTCGTCAGGTCGGTTAAAGGGCCGGCCAGTTTGGAAAAGTCCTTAATAAAGCGTCTATAGTACCCAGCCAATCCTAAGAAACTGCGAATCTCAGTGGAATTTTCTGGCCTCTTCCATTCAGTCACTGCCACTACTTTCTCCGGGTCTACCGTGATACCTTCTTTGGAAATTACATGTCCCAAGAAAGAGATTTTCTCTAGCCAAATTCACACTTACTAAATTTAGCATACAGCTGGTGATCTCTTATGGTTTGTCACACTAACTTCGAATGCTGCTTATGTTCCTCACGAGTTTTGGAATAGATCAAAATGTCATCAATAAACACTACAACAAATCGGTCTAGGTAGGGTTTGAAAACTCGATGCATCAAATCCATAAAGACGGCAGGGGCATTGGTCAACCCAAAGGGCATGACCGCAAACTCAAAATGCCCATATCTAGAATTGAAGGCAGTTTTGGGTACATCTTCCTTCTTAATTAGCAACTGATAATACCCCTGTCGGAGATCTAACTTTGAAAAGACCACTGCACCTTGCAACTGGTCAAATAGTTCATCGATATGGGGTAGTGGGTATTTGTTCTTAATGGTCATATTATTTAATCCCCGATAGTCGATACACAATCTTAAAGTTCCATCCTTCTTCTTAACAAATAATACAGGTGCCCCCCAAGGAGATCCACTCTCACGAATAAACCCACGCTCCAACAGGTCTTGCAACTGCAACTTCAACTCCTTGAGCTCAGCAGGTGCCATTCGAAAGGGGGTCTTAGAGATAGGTGACTTCCCCGGTAATAGGTCAATCTTAAACTCTATCTCTCTTTCCGGAGGTAAAGTTACTAATTAATCAGGAAATACATCCGGATAGTCACTCACTACAGACACATCTTCAACCCTCAACTTATCAGTGGGAGTGTTTATAAGAGAAGCTAGGAACCCTTGCGCCCCTTTATGCAGTAGTTGCCTAGCTCGAATACCCAAAATCAATGCAGATGAGGCTAAACTACCTCTTACATCTAGCCTTAAGGTCGCCTCCCCTGGTATACGAAATTCCACTACTTTTCTCTTACAGTCAAGTTGTGCATCGTATTTAGCTAACCAGTCCATACCCAATATAACGTCGTACCCCTTAATAGCTAAACTTATAAGATTCCCCAAAAGTTTCCTCTCTCCTACCCAAATTTCACAATTAGCATACATCATACCAGTAATCAAACGTTGTTCCCCCGTAGGAGTACTAACTTCTAAGTCATAAGGCAAGCTAACAGGTTTTATATCAATGTCACACATAAAATCGGGGTTAACAAATGAATGGGTAGCACCGGGGTCTATCAAAATCCTGGCTAGACGATGAAAAACAGGGATCGTACCTTCTACGACCCCAGAGGAATCAGGGACTTGATGTTGCTCAAGGGAGTATACCCGAGCTGGCACCTTCGGCTTTGTCCCTTCCACCTTGGATTGCCGCGAGTTGGCCTTCGACGATTGGGTGGTTATTCTCGCCTCCCGAGGTAACACCAGGCAGTTGGCTATTTGATGCTCCGCACTCCCACAGCGTAAGCATTTCCTCTCTTTCCTCCAACAGTTATCCTCAGTGTGATTTGGTTTCCCATAAAATCCACAAGGTCCACGAGAAATCGAGGCTGAACTTCCCTGTGAGGCACTTCTCTGTGGGCCCCGTCCATTGTGACCACCCCTTGGCGGAGTCCCTCGTGCCATTCCTGGTAGTCTTCCTCCTCCGGCTCCCCTTCCAAACTTGGGAGGGGTACCTTTATCCCCTCTAGTCGAACTACTCGCAGAGAATCCCCGTTTCTTCACTTGGAAATTCCTCACTTGAAGCATTGCATTTTCTACACTCTTTCCCACCAATCCGCCGATGCCCTAAGTCGCAAAGCTCAGGTCGCGAGTCTAATGATCAAAGAGTGGGAATTATTAGACTCCGTGTGTGAATGGAAACCCTGTCCTGGGAGTCATAAGGTGATTTTTGGCAATATTAAAGTGACTTCTACCTTCTTGGAAATGATTAAAGAAACTCAAAAGGAAGATGTACTGGTACAGAAATGGGGAGAGAAAGTAGGAAAAGGAGAAATCACTGATTTCAATTTTGGTCCTGAGGGTATTTTAAAATACTGAAACCGAATAGTGGTGCCGAAGGATGAATCGTTGAAAACGGAGATTCTAGAGGAAGCTCATCGATCCAAGTATACAATCCATCCGGGTAGTAGTAAAATGTACCAAGACCTGAAAGGAACCTATTGGTGGGACAATATGAAGAAGGAAATCGCTTTGTATGTGCAAAAATGTCTCATTTGCCAATAGGTTAAAGCCGAGCATCAAAAACCATCGGGCTTGTTACAACCCCTTGAGATACCTGAATGGAAGTGGAAAAACATCACCATGGATTTCGTCTCAGGTTTGTCGCGGACGCAGCGAGGGCACGATGCCGTTTCGGTGATCGTCGATCGATTAACCAAGTCGGCCCATTTCTTGGCGGTGAACATGAAGTATTCCATGGACAAGTTGGCTCAACTGTACATGGACGAGATCGTAAGGCTACACGGCGTTCCAGTCAGTATCGTCTCCGATCGAGATCCACGGTTCTTATCTCGATTTTGGCAGAAGTTCCAAGAAACCCTGGGAATGAAACTCAACTTGAGCACGACCTATCACCCTCAGACGGATGGACAATCTGAACGAACCATTCAAACTCTCGAGGACGTGCTACGAACTTGCATTCTGGATTTTGGAGGCAACTGGGGTCAACACATGACCTTGGTAGAGTTTGCGTACAACAATAGCTACCATTTATCGATTCAAATGGCTCCATATGAAGCACTGTATGGACGAAAGTGCGGATCACCAATTTACTGGGATGAAGTTGGCGAGAGGAAGGCATTAGATCCAACCACTATTCCATGGATGGAGGAAGCTCGAGAAAAGGTCAAGGTGATACGGCAACGACTCCAAACAGCTCAAAGCCGACAAAAGAGCTACGCAGACAATAGAAGGAAAGATTTGGAGTTCGAGGTTGGAGACCATGTATTTCTTAAAGTCACCCCTTTACGGAGTGTCACGGCAGGCAAAGGAAAGAAGCTTCAACCGAGGTTTGTCGGACCTTACAAGATCTTGCAGAGGATAGGTGCGGTAGCGTATAGACTAGAACTGCCGTCAAGTCTCTCGAGAATTCATGACGTTTTCCACGTTTCAATGCTCAAGAAGTACTATCCCGACCCCTCCCATGTCTTACAACCAGAGGAGATCGATGTGGACGAATCGCTTGCTTACGAAGAAAAACCTGTCCAAGTGCTTGACCGAAAAGTCAAAGATCTAAGAAACAAGCAGATTCCATTGGTGAAGATACTGTGGAGAAACCATGGGGTAGAGGAAGCTACCTGGGAAGTGGAAGAAGAAATGCGAACGAAATACCCTAACATTTTCGTGAGTTAAGGTGAGAAATTTCGAGGACGAAATTCTTTTAAGGGGGAGAGAGTGTGAGAACCCGTAATTTGTTATTTTCTAGGTTTTAGGATTTTTCATGGCTTGTTTTCTGCATTTTCGTGATTAGAAACATTTCGAGATAATGTTAAGGAGCAGATATAATTTTTAGATAATTTTTCTAGTATCAAATAGATTTTGAGAAATTAAGAGCATATACCGGACGTGGGACCCACTAGTGCGAGAAGTTCGGAAAAATTTGGCCAACTAGGTTAAGTTTTGAATACTGGAATTAATTTACCGGGTGTTAAGAGATAAGTAGAGGGTGCTAAGTGGATTGGTATAAAAGAGACAAGTTAGGTAAGTATTTAATAAAATGTGACAAGTGTCACCATTTGAGTGGGTTTACCTTTAAGACCACTATTCATGGTCTTACCAATTTACTAAATAAATCAAAAAACAACCAAAATTTCTCCATTTCTCTTCCCTTGTTGGCCGGCCCTCTCTCTCAAAAAGAAAGGAAGAAACTCTTCAAGTTTTGCTTCCATTTAGCTCAAATCCATCCAACCAACTATTGAAACTTGAACTTACTCCATAAAGCCTCTTCAATTAGTGTTAGTGAGTGGATTTGTGGAGTGATTTGGAAAGCTAAGAGGACCTATTGCTCCTTCTCTCTTGTTTCTAAGGTGAGTTGTGACGAACCACCCTCCTCCCTTAATTGATGCTTAAATCATGATTAGTGGTAGTATGAGATGCAATATTATGGATTATTTCTTGATTTGTGGTTGAAGTGATGAAGTTTTATTATTTTTGGAGATTTTTCTGTTTTAATATAAGCATGATTGTGTGGCTATCTATGATGATTGGAAATGGTATATAATGACTTTAGGAGGTGGAAAAAGTGGATAATTGCAACCAATTTCTGGTTTGGAAGAAATTTTGGAAAGTTAGGGTTTGGTTAAGGAACATTCTGCCTGAATTTATAACTCCTAGTTAGAGGCCGAATTGGCCTTGGCTTAAAGAATGAAAGTTGTAGGGAATGACATTTTAGAGGTGACTACAAAATTTCAGGTCAATCGGAGTAGTATAGAATGAGAAAAGTCGAAATTACTATTGCTGTTCTGGTTTTACCCGAATGTAAGAATTGCGCCTGTAATTGGTTGTTTTGGCTGGAATTGCTTCCGAATTGGTTGTTGAGGACTTCTGATGAACTGTAGCCCTGTTTCTTAGCTTTTAGCTGGTTTTGGAATTCTGGATTTGGACTTGGAGAGCCTGAGTTATGATGTTTCCGCTAGAATGCGTTCTGTGAATCTGTTTTACGGTTTTGGTGTAGTATCTTGCATTTTTGACATGGTTGCACTCAAAACTGGGTTGAGTGACCTTCTGTGATGTTGTAGCCCTATCTTTTACCTTCGAATCGGTGTATCGTACACCTTTATCCGGTAATCGTAGTGCCTTTGGTGCCATTACCGCAAAAAGAGATCAAAAACTGTTTTTTCAGGGCCAAAGCTAATTGCATTTCCGCATTTTCTGGTTTCTTCTAATGTTTGTATATGCTTATGTTGGGGTTGTATTTGGCATTGGTTTATGACTCGTTATCGAGTCTCATTGTACTTGTTTGCATGTTTTAGGGCGTGACGTTGGTGCACAACGTTCTTTTGACGGAAGTGCATGAAACCACATTTGCGAGCTTGGTGAGTGTACTACTCACTTGTGTGTTAATATATGACTTTGATACTTGAACTTGGTGCTTTGAATGTTAATTGCTTGAAGTGAAAGTGTACTTTATCACTCTCACTATGTGCCTTATATCCTTGTTATCATGTGATTGGAATGTTACACGAAGTGTTACTTGAAATAAAAATACATGACTTGGTGTCGTTTGGACGAGTATCCAATGACTACAATTGTTATCAATGAGCTCAACCCCATTGGTAGTTGATTGAATTGAGCCGGCGAGGGCTTGGTCGTGCCAATTGATGTGCCTTGGGAAAGTGTTATGGAATCTTGTAGTATGAGAGACTCTCGATTCCGGTTTACTCGAGTAATACCAAAGTGCAAGTGTTTGGATTTCGGGCCCGGTAGGGGTATGTTGGGTGGAAGGAGTGGAAGTAAAGTGGAGTCTACGGTTGGTTACTTTTGAAATTGACGGAGAGTCAATGAAGTTCGATCAAGAAATGCAAACGAGGGAAAAAGGGCTCTTGAGAGCCACCCGTATCCTTTTATCACTACATGTGATTTGTGTCCTTGCTTACTTTTAATGTATTGAATGAGAAGCTTGATGCTTATATGCACTTGGGTGCTTGAGTGATAGTATCTCACTGGGCAAATAGCTCACCCCGTTCCTTTTGTTTTCCTTACAGGAATCTGTCTGCTTTTGGAATGACTTTTGAATTGGTTGCCGAATGAACTAGATGACTATAGTTTTTGACATGTATAGCTTATGAATTGAACCTTAAATGTGCCTTGAGGCCGTTTTCACTTTTCATTTGGCAATCGTACATGTATTAACTTTTGAGTGACTTTCATATGCCATTTGGCTTGTAAACGCTAAATGTTACGTTGTATATGTATTTTTTATGTTTGGTTGGGTTGCGGACAGGTTCGGTTTCCAAACGGCAAAAGAAAAAAAAATTAGGCGAGGACTGCCTGGCCTGAATCCGGCCAGGAATCCGGCCAGAAACTGGCCGGATTGTCGGCCGGATTGCCTGGGGAAAATTTGAATCCGGGCTGTTAGCTACTGGACAGTATCCGGCCAAGAATCCGGCCGGTAATCCGGCCAGATTCCGGCCGGATTCCACTGTTCCAGGCACTATTCATCGTTTTCATTTTTTTATTTTTTTTATTTTGGTACTTGTGGCTTGTCCGAGCGCGCTTTTACTTTCCCGAAACGTTTTAGATCGCGTGTAACTGCCCGTTAGTCCTGGCGAGAGCTGGGCAGGCAGTCCGCTAAACCCTTTGGTTCGCCTTAGGGGAAGGTGGGGCTGTCACAATTAGCAAGTCATGGGGCATTTACAAAAATATAGCACACAGGTGCCACAAAAGTACATTTAGTCATGCACGTCAAAAGTAGACTCAAATGTCTCAAAAATAGGTCACACAGTTAAGCAAAATGCAATAGCCTTTGAACTAGCACCACCCAGCTATTTCTAACTACAAAAGTCAAAATATTTATCACTCCAAGTCTAATCCTCAGTAGGACTGTCAGGCGGGACCTCCTCCTCTGGGTCCTCCTCCGGATTCTCCTCGAAAGGCTCTTCCTCAGGAACCGGGCTTTGAACAGCGTCCATCACCTCCTCGATCAACATAGTGGTGTCAGCTAGAATCCCAGCGGCCTGATCCCGGACCTCCTCGACTACCCTAGCGAGTCGAACCCTAGTCCTTTGAAACTCATCACGAGCGGCCTC